TCTATTCTATTCTATTCTATTCTATTCTATTCTATTCTATTCTATTCTATTCTTGTCTCCCAACCAATTTTGAAATTGGATATTAATGATCTTAATGAGTATCAATATTTAATCAGGAGAATAATAGTACTGCCTTCATGTTGTTACCTTTCTAAAACAAGTAATGAAAACCTTTTTCAAAAAGCACAAAGTCCTCTTCTTTTTGGTTCACAGGGGTGTTTTATGAACCTAAACCTGGTCATCTGCAGTGACTCAGACTTATCCTTGTGTTGATAGTGATTCCTCTGCTGAAGGATTCAGAGAATAAGTGAAAATTGTTTAATCTGACAGAGAATTTAGCAATCCTCAATCCTATTGCATTTAATTAAGAATGCTGTACTTCATTAGGAAATAAAGACTAACCATTAATACTGTATAATAACAATGTTAGTGCTATTACTATGAAATAATGACAGAGAGGATGAAAAGGATTGAAAGAATCTATCTTGCTCTCTGGTCTATAGAAATAAATGCCCCAAGTACTTACCATAAATCAAGGATGCACAATTTTGAGTATGTGTGTGTGTGTGCAAGGGCCACCCAAGATGTACGCAGATTGAAGACAGAAACAAAATTGATTTATATAATTCGAATTTCAGTTTGAATAATGCAATATCATTACTATGATTACTTATAGAGTAATTTTCTCTTTCTATTGCTGTAAGGAGATTGTAGGGATGACATGCATTCTGATGAAGCTGGCTGGAGTACAGAGGCTGTGAGGACCTGTTTAAATCCAGATGGCCTTGTCTTCATTGTCTGATATGAATTACTAAACCAGCTGGATGAAGAGAAAACTGAACCAATTCCAGAAGTGAGAGTTCTAAAAGAGTCTCTTGCATAGTGAGATCAACAGCCTATAAGTTTAATAAATAAATAACGATACATGCTCAGCATTGCAAGAAAAGATAGAAAGACCTGCACATGGATTAGGGAACAAATGAAAGTGTATGGTATCATCCTAAGAGTTTTAAAAAATGGAAATGGAAATGGGCTGGTCACATAGCAAGAAGAACTAATGGCAGGTGGACTAAGGTAGTTAAAGAATGGATTCCATTTGATAAAAAGCATCCACGGAAGAGACCTAAAACAAAATGGGTTGATGACATTGGGCAAGTATTACAGGTCCAACTGGCAAAAAAAAGTGCCCAGGACCATATTGGTTGGAAACACGCAGAAGAAAAACCTACAGTAGATAGACAATGGCTAAAATGAAATGATAAGATAAAAGGCTAGTGAGAAAACTGGACTAGGGGAAAAATTGGGATTGATGTGCATCTGGCAGGAAGAATCTGTTCTTTCTTCTAGTTTGAGAAGTAAACCGGCCTACAATGAAGAAGAAACTGGAATGGTAGAAGCATCATATCAGAGCCTTGCAAGTCAAATAGTATGTGGGGGGGGGCTCAGTGGTTAAAGTTACTGAACTTGTTAGCTGCCAACCAAGACTTGAGTCCCAAGCGCTGTGTGACATGGATTGAACTCTCATTTCTAGCCCCAGCTCCTGCCCACCTAGCCGTTCAAAAGCATGCAAATGTGAGTAGATAAATAAGCATCCCTTCAGTGGGAAGATAAGAGTGTTCCATGTGCCTTAGCATATAGTCATGCTGTCTACAGAAATGGCTTCAGACAAATGCTGGCTCCCTCAGTTAAGAAACAGAGATGAGCACCGCCTCCTAGAGTTGGACACAACTGGATAGGGGAAATCTTTACCTTTATCTTTGGTCAAATAAAAGAGAGATTAGAAAGAAGTTGGGTTAGAGAGGGACAGAGAGACAAAGGCTACTATAATCCCGTCAATCAGTTTGCACTATTATCTGAATGCCCTGGGCTTTCCTAATCACAAAGCTATTCAAAGAGGAAAAGCCAGAAGTCACATTCCACGAATAAATGTGGACACCCCTCCCTGTAAAACAGAACCGATATTGGCTAAGCATTTGCTTTTTGAATAGTTAGTTGTTCTCCTTATAAATTAGGCCAGATGAAAGCATCTTCCCAGTTCCTCTGCTCTCTGAGGGAGCTGGCAAAATCAAAATCATGCTCAAAATTACCATTTGTTATCACTTTTGGAAGGGAACACCAAAGAGCAGCAGAAAGTCATAGGTTGGCTACCTCAGACTTAATGCAGAGGAAGCCAAGACACCAATAGTGTTTACAAAGCAGTGTATACCCCTATTAGTTCGTAAAGGAAATAATTTGGGTTTAAAATCTTGGGGGACCAGTGGTGGTATGCTTCCGGTTCAGCCCGGTTTAAATGAACCAGTAGCAAAAATTGGTAGTAAAGGTAAAAAAAGACTCCCACAATCAGCCGAGAGGAGAAAGAAGAGAAAAGTGCAGAATCAGCCCTTCCACCTGCCCCTGAACTTTTCTCTTCTTTATCCTCTCGGCTGATTGGCACTGCAGTCCTCAGCTGGTCTGGGGAAAGCCGTACGCCAGCATTAGGTGCATGCGTGCGCATGATCACAGAACCAGTTAGTGGAACAGGTAGGAGGATCCCACCGCTGTTGGGGAGCTAGGCAAAAGGGCAACATTATACATCATTCTGCTTCTAATTTTATTCATTAAGTTGCTAGCTCATAGCAATATGATCTGGATTGGGACTACCATGGTCAGACAGAGACAAAGATAGAGAATGCTTGTCAAGGAACTCAACAGTCTTTTGTTTCTTTTTAATAAGTCTAAAATTTTCTAATATTCACGTATACCTGAGCAACATGAAAGTGAAGGAAAGGAGGAAAGAAAAAAAAATCCCTGGGATGAGCTCCAGCACGAATCCAAACGCTTAGTAGACCCAGGGTGTCAAACTCAAGGCCCGGGGGCCAAATCCGGCCCATGGGGTGCTTAGATCTGGCCCACTGGGCCAACCTGGAAACAGCAAAGGACTGGCCTGTGGTGCCTCTGCCAGTGAAAATGAAACTCATGGCCCTCCCGACCTCCATTTTCATTCGCAGAGGGTTGCAGGAGGCCGTCGCAGCTGAAAGTGAATCTCAGGAGCCCATTTTCGCTGGCAGAGCGCTCAGGCCTCCAGAGGCACTTATGATACAAGTGACATTGAGCTAGCCACAGCCACCTTGGCCATGCCCATCCTGGCCCCCTGAAGTCAAATACAACCCTGATGCGGCCCTCAATGAAATCGAGTTTGATACTT